TAATAACCATAATGATTATAACTCTTAGAATGATAGGCAACCCAAATTACACCCATGCACTCTAATGACTCATTAGTTATTTATTTAAATCAATAAAAAGATCAACGAGATCAACGCTTGAACTGTTTTAGCAATAAGTTTGGTCTAGATGCTAAACCTGCCTCGAATTGAATTGATTAGCTTGCAATTAACTCAACAGTTAAAACTACGCGCGGAAATAAAGAGCGCAAGAATGTGCTGCCAGTGTTGCCACATCTCACAATACGCGACATATCGCCAATTCAGACTCTGCAAGCACAACGAGTAATTTAAGTATTTGCTTGAGAGGAATCGAATTATCTGAGTAATACTCTGCCTATCAGTGTTTTAGAGTAAAACCGCGTGAAGTTTTATTACGGAATTTACCATTTCACAAATAAAAGCATAACATAAACACAGAGTGATAAAATTATTGCATTGAATAATAAAATTAATTTATTGGGCTTTTTATTTTTAAAATTTAGGAACACTTGGTATAAACTTTTTGAATTTAAAATCGCGAATGAGTTAGGATATGAATTTATTACTTATTGCGCTGCATGCGCGAGTTCGTGGCGAATCGCTTGTTGTGCGTGTTCGCAATGGAAACAAAATGGCGGCGAGTCACAACACACCGCACCTCATGCACGATATTCACATAATAATCGCTATTTGACATTCAAGCACATTTTACGCATCAACAAGTCTTTTCTGTTTTGTTTACAAGATAATTATTAAATTCTTATTTAGATAGGCAACCAAATGTACAATCAGTACGCAACAACTGAATAAACTTGAAGTAAAGTGTTTTTACGTGTTTTAATTATCTGAAATTAACGAATTAAGTAATTAACGTAAACAAAAGTGTTGCTCAAGGTTTTGGTAACTAACAATAGGTAGATTCTTAGTTGACAAATTAAATACGTTGAAGTAAACGCATTTTTAACTTGATTTAACGCAGCGGACACGTAAAGACGAAAATAAAAATCAAGGAAAAACACGTTGCAACAAGCAGTTATGTCATGAGTGTGATTACATCATCGCTGCATTCTTAAATCATGTATTCATGTAATTTTAATAATACTTCCGTATTTTAGAGGTTATAAATCACGAAAAATATCATTTGCTTAAGTAAAATTTCTTCGCTGAAGATGGGTCATTGATGTTTTCACTTGTTGCACGCGAATAATACACAATACGTGTATAATACTCACATGTGGACATTTTTAGCATGCATGGCTAGCGGTACGTTGCTCTCGTGTTACCAAACGCTAAAAACGACCACGGGAACAAATGAAACGCACTCTGCAAACAACGTTTGCCAAGTAGTAGTCACTTAAGTACTTTTATTGAAAGTCGAATAACAAGATATCAAATTTCTTTTCTTATTTTTTTATTTCTATTCGGTTATTTTTAGCAGGTCGCTTAAAAGACACCAAAAATAAAATTTAAAAGTGTCGAGATGAGTTTGAAAGATTTAACGAGCCATAAAACATCAAAATAGATTCGGCATTGTTTTAAATTATTATTTTTGTATTTATTCAGTAAAAATAGAAAATAAAATAAAAGAAAACTGTGAAGTGAAAAGTTTCTAAAATTTGATTTGAGGTTAAACGTTTCGTGTTGTTCTGCTGTGTTTATCATAATTCGGTTTTCATTTTTAACTTGCAAACGGTATTCGTTCATTCATTCATTTGCTGAAATCAGTCATTGAATGAAGCGCATTTGGAGCGAGTGAATTTGAACAATGCAGAGAAACGAAACAAAGAAATAAGAGATATTTATTATATTATAGTATACCGATGAGAAAGTTTAATTATTGTAATATAGGCAACCAATTACACAATTTTGTTTTAGTGGTGAAATATTGTGATATTTTTAATAATGCAATCATTCATTCTGTGGAAAACAACTTTATGTCAATTAATTTAAAGCATTTAGTATTTTTAGTTTGTAATTGGGAAATGACTAATAGATTTCACACGTTTGTTGATGTATCATGGACCGAGACGAATGAATGCATATTATTGGTTGCATACATTATAAGTTTTAAGAAATCATATGTTATCTGTGAATCAAGAGAAAAATAAGCTTTTTATTGTATTTTGTGCTTTTTTGTGTGTAATCCCAACCAAAAGCAGTTAAAAAGTAACCTAACCAACAAAATTAACTTTTGTATTTCATGTTCAAAACGATAAAAATAAATTTATAGAGCTTTAGAGCTTGCATAACAGTTTTAATGTCTACTCTGCACTCAAAAATATTTAAAATTTCAAAAAATAAAGTACAATTCATTCCTCATATATAAAAAATCAATTTTTAGTAATATACTAGCTTTTGCCCGCGACTTGGTCCCGGTAGTGTTTAATAAAAATGTAATTCGTTTTTACTCTCTTGTTCTAGACATAGTATGTGTCAATTCAATAAATTTGCAATTTTATTTTGAAGAAATTAATTATATAAAGCTAATAATGCACTTCAGCGTGCCATCTCGGATTCAACTATTTAACTAGAACTATGATTGCATCTCAATGCCAATTTTATCCTATAGAAAAGGGCTGTCTTTAGGGTTTCCCGGCAATTATTCGATTTTTTCCGTCGCAAGAACCATCCTTGGATTTTAAGGAACGTTTAAAAAAAGAATTGGCCAAATTGGTCTAGGCGTTGTTGAGTTATGCGCTTACCAACAGATTTTGCGAATCATTTTTATATTATAGTGTGTAATAATGTGTCCTTAATTATGTCATGAATTAATTTCCACCCACTTTCACAAAATCTCAATTTGTAAACAGATATAACCATATTATGATGTTATTCATGTTTTATTTTATTTCTATCCTACACTCACGACCGCCGACCAAACATGGTGATACAAATCTTGCCTTCTCCGCCATTTTGCTTTCATCTATATTTAGAGCACATCACTGAGAACAATCTGGAATCTAGATTGTGAGCAGAAGAATTGAAACTAAATACGAGCAGTGCCACCAATACTAACGATGAAAGCGAAAATGATCTCTTGGCACACTTGGCACTCTTGGCAAACCATTCTAAATTATATCAAAATGTGTGAGTAGTTTGTATAACATACATACGTATTGTGCGTGGGTGAAACGAGTGGCGACCATGCGTGCCCATACTCATTTGTTGAGACACGAAAATCGCTCATCATTACTCACGCTTTTTACTTTTTAAGTCTCGTTTTTTTGTTTTTGTTATGACGGTGGATTAAGGAGCAAGTGCAGCTTACGTTTTACGATTTCTCGAGTTTGTTCAATTAAATACTGAGATTGCGAGACGCACAACGCTCAAACGAGTCATTCATTTCGGAAGACATAACAAAAATAAAAATGAAAAAAATATAGGAACTGTTTTTTGAGTTGACAGAATGAAATCTAGATCAAAATTGATATTCACCGCACGTATCAAGTTCAAGATCAGTTAAATTTCAACGTGTATCACACTAACCTAGATCTGTTTTTTAGAATCATTTCATTAATTACATACGTGTATAGGCAACCCAATAGACAATATTCAATTAGTAAACGTAAATAGTTATTAAATGTGAAAGTGGAAAATAAAATTCATTGAAATAGGTTTTGCCTTTAAGATATGTTAATATAAATTGCCTACCTATTAGGTATTTGACTTAGGTAGTCATTAGAAACAAAAAAATGTGTCATTGGTTGCATATATTACTCATATTTATTTTTAGTAAAAATTCGATCAATAAAATTCGCAATTTAATTTTAAAGAAATTAATTATATAAAGAATAGCTAATAATGCACTTCAGCGCGCCATCTCGGATTCAACTATTTAACTATAACTATGATTGAATCTCAATGCCAACTTTTATCCTATAGAAAAAGGCTGTCTTTAGTGTTTTCCCGAAAATTATTCGAATTTTTCTCGCCGTAAAAACCATCCTTGGACTTTAACAAATATTTTAAAAAAGAATTGGCCAAATTGGTCGAGGCGTTGTTGAATTATGCGCTTATCAACAGATTTTGCGATTCATTTTTATATTATAAATATAGACTATATTTTACTTGAAAGGTTCGTTGAGTGATAGCCATTACTAATAATTAACTCGTGGATAAATGTTTGCGTGTCACGCTTGATTACCCATTTCGGAAGCTTCCGGCTGCTGCCGATCGACTTCCGGTTGATAATCGCGATGTTTACGACGCGAAAGAATGTAGTTCCACAATAACAACAATAACAGCCATTAAGAAATATACTGGTCACAACAAAATCAAATTTTAACTCAATTTATACTCATTTTACTACTTAAATGTAATAAAAGTTGCCTACGGCTTAATATATTTTCATTTTTCTTCGTATTTATTACTGCAATGTACTGTATAATACTTTATATGAACTGTAACGACGTGTAATGAGTAGTACCACACCTGTAATTCAGCAATCAATGCATTTTTAACTCCGTAAAGCAAATTGAGTGCAGTTAAACATATATCACGGATGAAACTCTTTCATTTCCTGTGCATTGGCCGCTCGCTTGACTTTGACCAGATTGATTTCACCGTCGGCGGCGTCGTCGACTCGACTAACTTGGAAATCGCCCGGTCGATAAGTGGCCAAGTATAGCCAAGGTGTTGTTTTCTGCAGCTGGCCGCCGAAGAGGTCAACCAACTCGAATGGCACCGATCAACGCGACTTACGCATAATGGCTATTCGTATTCGGCGTATCGAAGCGTCGAAAAAGTGAACCAAACCAAAACGAGCGTCGATTTTAATTTCTTTTTTCACATCGACTGAGAGATGTGAGGATAATTCCTAAAGAGGAATGATCATGATTTTAGAAACTCATTGGAATGTATGCAACTTCACATACACCTTCGTACCAAAAACTAAACATAACATAACGCCTAAACATAACATAACCTTAAATATTAAAGTAGGTTATGCTTTAAAACAATTTATTTTCGTCGCTCAAGTGCGTCAGCAAACCGTAGCGAAATTAGTATGCTCGCCGATGCGAACCAAAACAGTTATTTTATTACTTCATTCCGTTTCGTTTGTGCGTTTGTTGATCATAATTTGAATTCATTTGAATAGTGTAAATGTTTTTTACTTACAGGTCTTTGGAATAATCTGCATGTCGTTGGCTTCTCCAGCGTATCTGTCAGGCACACACTGGTTCCTCTTCGTCGTGACAATCAGTTTCATTGGCACGCTCATCTGGACGTTTGTTTACCTGCTGGGTATTCGCGAAGCACTAAATCTTCACATTGACTGGCTACTATCGGTAAGCAAACAAACAAAACAAAATAAAATAACGATAACAACACGTATAATTTCGGTAATCTTACTTTTAGGAACTGGTAAATACAGGAATCTGCACTGTTTTGTACGCGATTGCGTTCATCGTTCAATTGGCTGTGTGGACACCAGCTTATCCAAGATACCGGGCTGTTAACTTAGCAGCAGGCGTAAGATTATTTTTATATTCTTATATATTTTAGTTTATATAAATTTTTGTGTCGTTTCATGATCACACGAAGAAAAATTTTAGGTTAATCCACCACATGCGGTTGTATAGTGTAAAAACTATAGGCAACCATAATAACATTTAATTTAAACTTCATATAAATATTTTTTTGTATTGTTTAGTGTTTTGGATTGTTCAACACGTTGGTGTACGGTTTCGGCGCCTATCTCCTCTACATCGAATGGAAAAGCACGCGGACGCCGCAATAATAATCCAGCAACCACAAAAACCGCAAACATCAATTGGAATTTTGAGCGCGACTCAATTTCAATGCCGACGCAATGTGTCAAACCGTGAAACAATACAAATACAAAATATTTAAAGATTAAAATAAGCACCTAGAAATCACCGTGATGACTGAAATCGTTCAATATAGTCATTCAAAAAGTATCGAAATATCAATATGTTATAAAATATAATAAAATAAAATTTGTTACAGTTCAAAGTTGATTTAGTACGTTGCAAAAACACAAAAGGAAACTCTAGTTGTATTTTATATTATATTGTATTGAATTGTATTGTTTACAAAGCTATGTTAATTTAATGTTTTCACACCATGTTTCTATAAAATATTCACATTGTCGATTGTTGTGCAGTTTAAAAGATCACTGTAAACGCGTGTAATTTATATACAGATTTTGTACTTGTACCCGAGTTAAGATAAAAAGAGATTATTTTATTAAATTGTTAAGGCGCATGGACGTAAACGTAGAGTAACAGCAAGACGTGTACTTTGTGAGTCATTAGGAAAGGAAGTACGGCTTTAAATGCAAAAAAAAACGAAGTTATTAATAAGTTACAAAAATACGTTTGATGTTATTGCATAATCTAAATATCCGATGAATGAATCAGAATAAAAATAAATTGATTTGTACTAATAATGGCAAATTTTTATGTTTTTAAATAAATAAAAGTTTATAAACATTTATGTGATGTTATTTTAGGTAGTCACATACTAAACAGAGTGAAATATGCTTAAATTCATATTTTACTGATAATATTTCCAGTTTTGACATTTTCCACTAATTTAGCTTTGATGCAGTGTGTAAATTAGTTTTACAACCGTAGAATTGCGTCAAACATTAATATTCATGTTAAAGTCAATATTTCCAATTCATAACATTTGGTATTGTTTTAGTGTATACTTGGTTGCCTATATTACACTTACAATATAAAGAAAATCTAACTTTAACGGAAATTAAACTTAAAATTAGGAATTTCCACTGGTATTCCCTCAAAATGCAATTAATTTGTAACCGCAATTAGTCTAGTGGTTTCCAATTAATTAAAAAAAACAAGTCTAAAGTCATTATAAATCAAATTAGTTTCAATTTTTCGATATTTCAGTCCAAATATTTCGAAATTTTATTCAATTCATCCATAAAATCAACCTACATACAGCAATCACGTAATACAATTATAATCTAAACGTGTAAACATAATTCACCTCGTCGTGGGTTTACTGTGAATGCCTAATACGCATATTAGCATAATACTACAGTATGCACTTTTAAAAATATCTCATCGTGCGTGGATTCTAGGCGCGGCTATACTGTTTGTTTCCAAAACAAAAAACATAACGTAATAATCGATGAAACACTTGAACAACTTGACCAATCTGACTCACAGATATGCACTGCCAGCGCGCTCTGCAACCATCTTGTTTTCACGATGGAGGGAGTCCAAGCAACATAAAAAAGAGCCGAGAGAGTGATTCGCGAATGAAGGTTTTCCTCCTTCTCCTCCTGCGGGAAATGAGTCGATTTCGTCGCGGCTAGCGAATCATTCCAATTCATTCATTCGCGTATGTGATTCAGTTGCGACTGGAAGTACTGATAACGCACCACGCAAATTCAGAATAATTGTGTGAAACACCGAAAAGGAGTTTACAAGTGTGAGTCATCGCAAAGTTGAAATAACGTAAGTAATCTGACTTGTAAAATATTTATACTAATATTTATTGATAAGAGAAACAAATACAAATAAAGAAAACGGTTGAATGCATAAATAAATCAAAAGTGGTTTCGAGTTACTTTTTATTTTATCAAATATGAGTCAGAGACGTGTGGAAATAGCAAAAATCAATATTTTCCTCAACGTCTAAATTTAGTCCGTCATAAAACTAGCTGAAAACTAGGAATATCCATTAAAATATTATAAAAACGTGGTTATGTTATATTTTTGACATTTTTTATGTTGCAGACGTCAAAATGTCTCATTCAGTGACAGTTACAAGAACAACAACGACAACAACCACTTCTGCTCTTATCATCAACACAGGGTATTTGAAAACATGGCCTGGATTATTAAAACTCTTCCAAACCGTAAGTAACCTCAATTAAACTCTATTAATTTAATGTAGGTAAACAAATACACAAAATTTTAAGTTTTCTAAAGTGTGGAATGCAGTTTCTAAAGTTTAACAAAAATACTGCCAAAATAAAACACGTAATTGTTGTGAATTGTAATGTCTGCGTTATGCGTTGACATTGACCCAGTCTCGACGAAGAACTCGTCGACATTGTCGTATTTGGCATGACACGATCGAACGTGTTATTTTGCTTACCAATCGTCGATTGTTTAAGTTAACATGCATAATCGGTACTAAAATAACTCTAGTGGTTGTTGCATAAATAGAAATACATAATACTGTTACTTATATTATGTATATAGGCAATCAATTATACAATTTAATAGTTACAAATGTAAAATGTTGAGACTTTTACATTTAATTAATGAAAATTAATAGAAAATGCTTAGTTTTAGTTAAAATTTTGATGATTTTAAACATTCGGTATGATTTTAATGTATTTGATGATGCCACTGCATTAAACTTTGAAAAAATCAGTCGATGATATCATTTCTTGCGCCACACTCGTCGTTAAGCAGCTTTAATGCGTTAAGGACGCGCGCGCGCAATTTCCAGCAACGTTCTGCATATTTTAAGTCAGATGAATTGAGAAATTTGCAGTTTAATTCTTCATCAAATAAAAATCAATCTAATGAAAATAGCATTAGTTTCCGCAACCAATAAAAGCGATGAGAAAGAAATAAAATTCGGGAATGCTTGTGATGCGTGTGTGTCTGGTTTGGTGAAAACAGCGCGCGTGCTATTTTTATGTCGTTTCGTGTAAACACTCACGTTTGTTTTATGCCGCGAATGACCTAAATAAACACCCACCCGCCGTCGCCATCACCGCTGGACGCCATTTATACACAAAACTATTAAATGCATTTGATTTTTTCGAGAAACTACATATATTTAGTTGGTATTTGTTTGGCTCATTACTGCGCATGCGTAGTAAACATCATTGGAATAATAATAAGTTGCATACATTAAAATGTGTTATTTTTGTATTTATTAAGAAACTAGCTTTAACGCGCGGCTTCGCTCGCGTTGAATCCATCAAATAAATATTAGAAATCATTATACATAGTTGAAGCGGAATGATAGAAAGAATGTATATTTCCCTGCTTGGCTAGGATTATCTATGTGAAAAAATTACTACATGCAATAAAGTTTTAAATTTTAGATGGAATGCTAGATGACGTTAAAGTAGTCAATTAGCCAGATGCAGAGGTATTATTGGCTAAACAATTTCTTTATTTTATTTGAAAAATAATTTTTTTATTAAATAAAACGTAGCCTATAACCATTCGGGGACCATCGGGGACCACTAAGAATATGTGTACGGATTTGATGTTGACGTAGCTGTCGGTAATACAGTGTGATGGTACTATAGTACTTAGGTGTGAGCTTCATTGCTGGAATGCTAGATGGCGTTAAAGTAGTCAAATAACCAGATGCAGAGGTATTAGTGACTAAACAATTTCCTTATTTTATTTAAAAAAATAATTATTTTTATTAAATAAAAAGTAGCCTATAACCATTCGGGGACCACTAAGAATATGTGTACAAATTTCCATGATGATCTGTTAAGTAGTTTTTGCGTGAAAGCACGATAAACTTCAGGACATACGCATTTATAATATTAGTAAGGATAACATTATTAAATCGCATCATAAATCATCAAAGATGACGATGATCAAGTCGATGATGTGATAATTCATCCGAGAAACGATGACGACAATAAACAAGGAATACATAGTGATCTCATAAGAATGTTGTTTATTCAATGATATCACGAGACAGATATTTTTTTATTTTTGAGTATTTACCCGTCTGGAAGCATCTTTCTCGTCGTAGAGGAAGAGAAAACAATAAAATTTATACATGAATATTGATATTGACGGAGAAATAATAAATAAATCGTAAGATATTGTAATTAATTTCAATTTCATTGAATTTCAAAGTCACGTATCATTTTCTTACACCTTGCCCGGAGCGAAATAAATTTCCATAAAATTGTTTATTGTTTATTGATGAAATCAGCATTGAGATTCCTCAATTATTACGACAACGACTAATTTAAGTAAAAGTAAACTTAAATGCAATGTATATTCGTGGTTATTGTGTATGATTAGTATAGGCAACCAAATCTACAGGTTTTTTCTTGTATACTTTTAGCTTTTGGGAATAGTCGTCGTTGGATTGATTTCCTACTATTATAGAACAGCGAGGATTGTTTCGCACACCGCAGAAACTTTTTATCTGCTAATGGCGGTGACTTTCCTCGTCGGCACGTTTCTCATTCTAGTTTCGTGCATAATTTCCATTTCAACCGCTTCGATTATATCCAAAACTATTTTTGTAAGTATTATCGTTTATTTTTTCTTTAAAAATATTTGTTTTAAACACATTTTATGTATTTTAGGAAGTTGTTTATCATACGGCAGCTGCCATTATGTACATTGCCGCCAGTGTAACCTTCCTTGTCGAAGTGAATCGATGGAATAAAAACTACAGCGAATATGAGTCGTACATGGCTGCTGGTGTAAGTTGAGTTGCATATATTCAACATCAAACCATACATATTTCTATTTGTTTTAGGTTATTGGTTTGGTCATCAGCATCCTCTACGTCCTCAGCGCATATTTTGCGCGCAAATCATACCGTGGTTTGTAAACCAATCAAAAAACACTTAAATTTACACCTTAAATATAATAAGAATTGAATGTGCCTGAATTTTACCATGTATTTTTTACCAAGTTTACTTTATACAAGCAAGCAAGAAAATATTTATCTATAGGACTTAAAACTCATCATATATAAACTGCTTTACGCTTAAAAAATACAAATTACAAATTTTTACAGACATATTTTTTTATAAACTTATTGAGATTATATCTGCAAGTGACGTACGGGTATAAATACTATAAACAATAGAATGTGGAGCATAAAACAGCAATATTTTGATAATTTGACAAAACTATGTGTTCTAACAGCTTAATAAATTTATTTTGTATTTAATTATATATAAGTTATGTTTATATTGTTGATAAATTATGAATTTTTGATTTAAAAGTTATAAAAAGTCAATTAATGGAAAAATTGTATTAAATGTCTTCGAAAATATGCAATATATTAACTACAATCGAAATTATTTATCAAATTTATATAAAAAAATGTGTATAACAATTATTAGACGTATATAATTGGAATATTGTAAATTTTAATCTATATTTGTAGTAATTGTAACTAATCTTGTTTATGATTTATTTATTTTAAATGTGCGGTTGTAATGTTCATTCAATATACAATATTTATAAACGTAAAACGTATTATTTATTAACTATTAAATCATTTTATGGTTCTAGTGAAATTCCAACCATAAAATATGTTTTATTACAATAATCAGCTTAATTCAAAATTTATTCTTTATTTTATACGGTATATTTATCACTTTTAAGCAATTGAGTAGTATTAATAATATTAATTAATATTAATTACGTCGTTATATGAACGACAATCAAAGAAAACGTTATTTTTCCATTCGAAACCGCAAGAAAACTGAAGAACCGAGAAGAGAAAAGAATCTAACCTAAAAACTGAAACTAAACTGCTAAACGACTCACGCACTACTCTATTCCTCAGGTCTACCCGCAAGAAGTAGTGGGGGAAAGCACACTAACGACATTTTAAACCAAACGTTTTTATTAAAACACGAGCTTTTGCCCGCGACTTTGTTCCGGTGGTGTTTAATAAAAATGTAATTCGGTTTTACTCTCTTGTTCTAGTCATAGTATGTGTCAATTCTATCAATAAGATTCGCTATTTTATTTTAAAGAAATTAATTATATAAATAATTGCTAATAATGCACTTCATCGCGCCATCTCGGATTCAACTATTTAACTATAACTATGATTGAATCGCAATGCCAACTTTTATCCTATAGAAAAAGGCTGTCTTTAGGGTTTTCCCGGCGATTATTCGAATTTTTCTCGCCGTAAAAACCATTCTTGAACTTTAACGAACATTTGAAAATAAGAATTGGCCAAATTGGTCTAGGCGTTGTTAAGTTATGCGCTTACCAACAGATCTTGCAATTCATTCTCATATTATAGATTAAATGAAATTTAATACGCTTAACTTCACATCTATTCATTTAACATTAATATATGCAACCATTAATACACTTCAGCAATTAAATAAATTTAGCAATGCATTCACTTGCAAAAAATTCCCCAGCAGGATATTTAATTATACGTATGCTGAATGTGCGTTTGTCGTTGATGACGCGACAAGCAATAAATGTACAAAAATAGCACACCGCTTCTGCTGGATGGCAGGCATTGACGACGTTGACGACCCTACCGACCACATCATCAAAATGAAATGCACAAAACCCTGCAGCGAGACTAAACTTTCAAATGCTATCTATTTATAACTGTAATTTGTATGTCTCACCCTGCAGTGTTTATTCACCCTGAAATAAAAACGCAACGCACGCGTGTGAATGGCACGAGCGACACATTTACCTCCTGCAGAGCTGAAGCTTTCAGAATTCAACCCAAATATAGGCTGAAGGAAGCTGCAAGCGAGATGAAACTATTCCAGCCTGCAGCCTGCAACAGTTTGGCTCGTGTCTGCAGAGCAGAACACACATTCAAGGGAAGAGAATTCAAATTAAAGTTTAAAAGTTAGAATAATTAAATTGTGATTAAAATGTTGGCTTCACCAAATCGAGGACCAATTATTCGAATGGCAAATTCACCAAGAGCAACAAACGCACCATCAACAGGAATTAATTGTTGCTGCTGCAGTTGTTTCACGTGTTTAAACACAGGATTTGTACGATCTGAAGATGGAATATTAAAAATTGTTCAAGTTGTAAGTAATTCAACATAAAATATCTTATAAAATATAAATATTTTGCAGTTATATTAAAAATAATTATTTTTTGTTCTTTAAAGATTCTAGCATCATTTTGTCAAAGTCTAGCAATAAATTTTGGTCTTCCCTATGCAGCTACAATGGGTACAGCTTATCATGGTTTCCTAACAACAGTTTCCTGGGGATTAATGACGAGTTTTCTACTTTTGGTCTGTTATATATTCTCAACGAATTCGTTTAATTTGATTCGACAATCATTATTTGTAAGTATCGTAATAATATAAAAATAAACAAAAACATAGATAACTATTTAATTAATTAATTAATCTTTTAGGAACTGTTCTTTAATGCAATGGCATCTTTCAGTTATCTTAGCTCGAGTTTTTATCTCGCTTTCGCTGTGACGACCTTTTTGTATCCTCAATACATAATCGTGCCTTATTTTCAAGTTTATCCTGCAATGTCAGCTGCATATGTAAGTATTACACCAAAATAAGATACTACACCTTATCAGTATTATAACAAATTCCTAATAGTATTAATAAATAACTTCTATTATCTAATATTTATACTTTTAACATTTTACCCAGGAATTGAACTGAAAGTTTTGTTTTTATCATAGGCAACTTTCATAACACACATGTATCATGAGTCCAGTACATTAAACCGTGAATTTTTCAAAAATTCAAAAAATTTTATCAAAAATATTTCGAATCCACTCGATAAAACAATAAATATCTACATAATAATTCTTCTAATGATTAAAATCTATAAAACAGCTACTTATCACTTGTTCTACATGCAATCGCAATGTTACAGCTTCTCTCGCGTTTCGCGTTACAATACTACTCAAATAAAAACAAAACAAAAATTGTACCAAGATTAAATAATGTCTCCAAGTGCTGATTTACATTTAATGAATACAAAACCGCCATATCACATCGCACGTAATAATTTATTACTTTATAAAAATTACAACTACACTCAACTATAAATTATTAAACAATTATCTTAATCATTTATTAATGACCATACTGATGTTGTCTGTGACGTTGACACTTAGATTTAAAGTGTTTAAATACGTTTCAAGTGTTATCAATGGTTCGGTAATCGGTTCGGAGAACTTCTGAATACTCTAATGGAGTTTAATAAAGTTTATTGATTGTTCATATTGTTCATAACTTGTCATTTGAATGAATAAACTTTTATCGTCGAATGTTTTTAAATGAATATGAATTCTGTTACGTCACTGGCGACATTAAGACACGTGTTCGGTGTTTATACCGCAACTCAAACACTGTAAAAAATGTTAATTAATTGTAATCATGTGTTTGTTTGCAGATGTTGGGTGGAATAGTGGGCATCCTGCATGGATACGACGCATACAAAGCGTACAAATTCTACAAAGGCTATAGATAAGCTAATTACACGCCGTAATCAGTAACAGTGTCATTAAGAAATGTTAATAGTAAAGTTAGAACATGAAATCGACTACGCAACATGTCAACAGTCTACTGTTCTTGCTCAAAATACTAAACAAGTTTTGTGTTTTGTTTTTTCGGATGTGCAACACATGAAATATTTAATTTATTACAAAACTAGCTTTTGCCTGCGATTTCGTCCCGGTAGTGTATAATAAAAATGTAATTTGATTTTACTTTCTTGTTCTAGACATTGTATGTGTCAATTCTATCAATAAGAATCGCAATATTATTTTAAAGAAATTAATTATATAAAGAATTGCTAATAATGCACTTCAGCGCGCCATCTCGGATTCAACAATATAACTATAACTATGATTGAATCTCAATGCCAACGTTTATCCTATAGAAAAGGGCTGTCTTTAGAGGTTTCCCGACAATTATTCGAATTTTTCTTGGCGTAAAAACCATCCTTGAACTTTAACAAACATTTAAAAAAAAATAATCGGCCAATTTGGTTTAGGCGTTGTTGAGTTATGCGCTTACTAACAGATTTTGCGATTCATTTTATATTACAAAATAACAAAATTATTAACTCAACGGATGCGATTATTTGATTATTTATTATTTGTATTATTTATATAAATAAAAACAGTGAATTTCACGAGAATTTCGCTTCGAATATTTGATTGATACTCGAAAATGACTCAGATTGATTGGAATTAATTGAAATAAAAGCTTTAATTATATGGAACAATGTGCAATATAAATTTAGTACTTTCCTAAGTCGCATATAAGACGAGTTTGCAAGTACATATTTAAGTAAAAGGCTTGATAAGAGTAATATTAGGAATATTTGGAGCATTTTATGATTTAACAACCAAATTCGCTTCGTAAAACAAGGTTTTGTAAATAATCTATTAATCCTAGGCTTTAAAGTTTATAGGAATAATACTATTGTGGATTGTAAAGTACATTTATAGTTAAAAATAAAATTTTAATAAGTTTCAAGTAATCTTAAGTAATTAATGGAAATGTAATTAAATATATCATAATTCAGGGAATATTATCAGATTAATTAGAATGGATTAATGTTTCGGAGTTATAAAAATACCTGATTAAGATGAATATCATTTCTATAAGCTGTGATTGATTAATATACTTCTGCGTCAAGATATTAAATTTGCAGAAATATAAAAATAGCGGTTTTTAAGAGGCATTTCAAGATATTTTCTATGAATTCAAACGGTGAATGTCTTTACCTAATATATAAAAATAAAAAATCAGAAATTGCTTTATTTTTATTTCTTACTGGTTTTTGCCCACGAATTCGTCCCGGTAGTGTTTAATAAAAATGTAATTTATTTTCACTCTCTTGTTCTAGAGATAGTATGTGACAATTCTATCAAGAAGATTCGCAATTTTATTTTAAAGAAATTAATTTTATAAAGAACTAGCTTTAACCCGCCGCTTCGCTCGCGATGAATCCATCAAATAAATATTAGAAATCATTATACATAGTTGAAACGGATTGATAGAAAGAATGTATATTTCACCGCTTGGCTTGGATTATCTATGTGAAAAAATTACTACATGCAATAAAGTTTTAAATTTTAGATGGAATGCTAGATGGCGTTAAAGTAGTTAATTAGCCAGATGCAGAGATTGCAGAGGTATTATTGGCTAAACAATTTCTTTATTTTATTTCAAAAATAATTTTTTTTTATTAAATAAAAAAGTAGCCTATAACCATTCGGGGACCATCGGGGACCACTAAGAATTAGAATTTTTCTCCCCGTAAAAACCATCCTTAGACTTCAACGAACATGTTTAAGAAAGAATTGGCCAAATTGGTCGAGGCGTTGTTGAGTTATGCGCTTACCAACACATTTTGCGATTCATTTTTATATTATAGAAACGTTGTGTTTTGCAGGCAATTTTTTTGAATTATGAGAAAAATAACATTTTTTGCCTTGAGTTCCATATATTAGTTACTATAGATCAGTCAATAAAATCAATTTAACCCATGGATCACAACAGTAGTAATGATAACAGAACTAGAAAAGGCTGTAATCCCTTTTATTTTCACTTTCTTTTACGTTCTTTGCATTTCCATTTTAAGTTGACAGATGGCGTTAGAGAATATAAATTCGCCATTTTACATTCGCCTTTTACTAAATTATCAACCGAACATAATACAGCTTGCATAGAAAAACCCAACAAACACTCCTATCGTATTTTGCTTTAATTATTTAATTATGCCGGTTTTATATTTCATATTGATTGAAGTTGAATGCAAGCATAAAAACGCTTCTATGAATAGTAGCGACTGGTACGGGTGGTACGGATGTTTGTGTATGTTCTAGTGTATAGATTCTCGTTTCTCGCTTCTCGCTTCTCATTTCTCATCCTTCAGCACCGCATACGTGATTACACATATTACAAACGCTTCAAAAAGATTCAAAACACGTCTACGTATGTTAAAAAACATAATAAACATAATAAACACATTATATCTTATAATCACTTCAAGAACAAGCATAAAACCTAATAATCTATGTCAAAGACGAATAGAATCCAATTATAAACAATATTTTAAGATAAAATTCAGTATTAAAACACCCTATATTAAATTTCGAGGTTTCTATACCAACCGGAAGAACATAAAACACTCAAAGACAACATTTTAGCCTTATTTCAAGTAAAAATATTCAAAAATCACGATTGACCTCACCATGGTAGATTAGATCAAGCGTAGCAAACATCACAGTAGACTAAAAGTGCAGAGGAAAAGTAAAGTAGTGTTACCAAGAAGACACGACACGTCAGTTGAAAACGGTCGAATCATCGTTTGTGGTAGAAGTACTCAGTCAACTCGACTGAGCGCCAACTTAACTATGACCATCAGAATTCGGTTGTCAGTCGTTAGCAGTTCGTCGGTTGTGCGGTGGTTCCTCGCTTCGCTTCTCAACCATTTACGCTGGTAGCGAGAAGCGAGAAGTGAAAAGTTTCACTTACTGTTCACTCACTGCTCAACTACCTAAGTTGTATTGTTGCACATTCACTGATTCACCACGACCGAACACTAAACTATTCAACAGGCAACAAAAGCAACAAAAAACACAAAAGAAAAGTGAATGCAATTACACTTTATATAACTTGAATGTAATTTAATTAAAACAAGTGTTACCAGCGGTAATAATCTAATAATTTATAACAAACACGAATACGGAACTGAATCATCTGTAGTTTGCCTGTGATGGACGTCAAAAGTGTGCAACACGTGCGTTTCAATGTCATTTGACTAAAACAGCATGAATTCAAATGTTGCTAGTACTAATACATTGATTGATTACATTTAAATACTTTAAATATACAAGTTTAAGTAGACAAGTTGGTGCGGGCAAAGTGTGACTGTGATAGCAACAAATTAATCGCATTTAATTCCGCGGTGCAGTCGTGCTACTCGGCGAAATGGAACGAGCGCTAGGAATAGAAAATCAATTGGCGAACGGAAGTCCACAATGGATTGATGGTAAGTCTATTGTGCTGTCATTTTGACAATTTATTTAAATTTTCTAAGAAATATCTCTTTATATTTAGAGAAAGTTATATACTTAGTTAGACGGTTTGTAAATTTGTTTAAATAGTTGTGAAAAAAGCAAATTTGTGATTTTTATTAACACGAACGTAAAATACGTTTAAAAACATAGAGATTATAATTTATTTAATCTAAAATTAGTGATTTTTAACCTAAAAAATTCGAAATTTAAAAAATTCTATGTTGGAGATGCTGTACAAGTACTGAACATAGGTTAGACTACCCTAGCAACACCGTACTTGTACATTTCCAACGTTTTTATTTATTATTTATTGTAAAATAAATATTAATAATAAACAAAGTTATTAAACCAACACACGATCAGCAGTTTTAATATAAACATGTTATTTTGGATGATAATTTCGTTTTTATCATTTTATCCCCGAATAATACCGAATTTAATGACTAACGTTATTAAAGCACTGATAATCTTCGTATTAAAATGAATCCCAGCAAGATTTGAACTTGATCTTCGTGTATTTATAGATTTACTTGATGAAAATCAGAAATTATCAATTTTTCAGTTTAAAATCAGCATAAACTTCAACTACAAATGTATATTATGATTTAATTTATCAATATCGATGCATATTTGTATGTGGGTCGCCGCGAAACTTTCCACTCTCGCTGAAATCACCGCATTAACAAACAACAAACATCACGTACCAACAATTGCAGTAACTACGGCTGTTGTTAACTTGATAATTCGCATTCAATCGGCGGTATTTACTTGTAAACGATTTTTATTTTATTTTTTTTCATTGTTTCACTGGAAATAGTGCGAATTTTGATACGGATAACTATCAGCGATGATTTTATCAAATATTTGTGGTTATCACGGCAAATATGCGGATGAACATTGATATTAGAACTGATACAAAACTACATGATGATTTATTTGAATTTACTTGTTGCGCTATCGCGTTTGAGGTTAGTTTTCATTCATTTTTAGTAGGCGGTTAAATATTCGATATTTTTATCGTTTTCATATTGATAATGGCATGACGCACGAAAATATGAGACATGAGTTTGTTGAATTGTGAACTGACGCATTTATTCATGAAATAAAACTTAAAACGCGTACAAAATAAAAAGAATTGAAGAACTGTCACGTTGGTTGTCTATACTTTAACAAACATGATAGTATTGATCATCGGTAAACACTAACGAAATAATGGGGAATGAACTCGGAGAATTCAAGTGCAATTGGAAACTTTTTGTTTGCTGAGTAAACAATGTCGATTGCCCTTCATTTCACTACACTACACAATAAATGATGCAATGACAAACACTCGTATATAATTCGGGAATAATACGTATGCATAACATAACCAACAATATGAGAAATTTGCATTTAAACGTGATTTATAGTAATTATATATTTGCAGACAGTATCTGACCTTGCTCACGCTGACAACTATGTAAATAATCGTATCTACATTACTGCACTTCACTTTCTAATTACTTATCAACAATCGACAAATCGACAATACTTGAATTTGCAATACAAACATAAACTGCGTTGTTAAATTGGCAAACATCCGAATGAGCAAATGAATAAAACATTGCACGAATTGATTGTGATATAACACAAACAAAACAAACGCAATATTAACGTTGTTGTTGTTAAATTAAAATTTTAATTACAGAATCAATGGATTCACCGTTAACCTCGACGATGCCGAATGATAAATACTTGGAAGATGATGGCACCGTCTGGGGTTTGGTTATGATTGTCTTTGGTGCCTTGGCTATAATTATCATCATGTTTCTCATCGCATTATTCATCGACTGTCGCCAACAGTAAGTTATTTCATTAAAAAAAAAACTAAAATATTAAAAGATTAACTATTTGCGTAATGTTAATCCCACGTGTCAGTATAATAATACGATAAAGATTTATGATTAATCACTATATCGCTACAAGGATTAGCAAATAGTTTCTCGAAACTGCAAAAACAACGCAGTTAAACGTGTTTTTTGTTTTTGTATCAATTCTAGAAAATTAGCAGAACTCCAACAAGCAAAGCACGCGCATCACGTTCAACGCCGCAAGAAGATGCGATTCAAAGGTCCGACCTTGGCAAAAACCATCGAAGAAGACACTGAAAGTTTTGCGTACAAAATGCAAACTCCAATGTCCGAACCGCCTGTGTAAAATATATTTTTATCACGCTAGGTTTATTAATAATACATATCGCCATGTTTGTGGTTAGGTTAAAACACATTTTAAAGATATACGTAAAAAAATTTAATCCCATAACTCAAATACAATTCTGAAACTTCTCGAAACTGTCAACGTAGATATATAAACTTCTATATCTAAATATAATGTGATGTAATTTTAAGCAATACACCATGCAACAACTATTTTTATAGGTTATGTAAGTTGTGAGGTTATGCATCGCCTGCATGCATGCAAATACATAACATTCGTTATTGTAACATTAACACGTTACAAACCCTGTATGTTTATTTATTAAATCGTCGAATGTCAAGCCCAAGACTGATTTGTAACGAATTTTGAAAGATCTAGTCGTGGATACGATTTACGAATTATAGCTGAACAATAAATCATTCCCCAATATATTTCTGAATTATTAAAACTTAACATCTGCCCATGACCATCGCGAGGAGGGCCATGCGAACAAACATACCGCACTCGGCCTGCCGGAAGTAGGCGGCACGTGGATCGGAGTCAAAATCAGGGCTGATTTCACCCACACGTGGCAGAGGATGCATAACAACCATCTTCCTCTTTGCGCGTGTCATCAACTGTGGTGTTACAATAAAATGTCCGCAAGCCTAAAGAAAAGCATACAAATAAAAATAAAACCATTTTATGTTTGAGGTTATGTTGTATACTTACTGCTTCATATTCCTCTTGTGATTCAAACCTTTCACGTTGAATCCTAGTCATGTACAAAACATCAGTATCCGGCAGTACATCCTCCAAGCTGGTAAATTCTTCCTGTGCGATCCCCTTGGCTTTGATGAATTGAACAATGTGTTTTGGCATTTTTAGGTTAGGAGGACTCACATATCTCAATTGAACGTTATACAAAGTGAGTAATCTTGCTAGTGAATGCACAGTCCTACCATTCTTCAAATCCCCTACCAAAGTGATGGTTAATCCGTTAACCGTACCAATTTCTTCACGAATGGTGAAGACATCAAGTAGGGCTTGTGATGGATGCTCCCCAATTCCATCTCCTGCGTTGATCAAAGGTTTACGACAGTGTTCGGACGCGCTTAATACTGACCCTGGTGTTGGGTGTCGAAGTACCACAACGTCTGAATACGACGCCATGACTTCAATGGTATCTTCAAGGGTCTCACCCTTTTTAGCAGATGACGAAGTCTCATCCATGTAGATCACCCTACCACCAAGACGTTGCATAGCCGCGGAGAAACTACAGGAAGTCCGGGTGCTGACCTCATAAAAAATGGACGCCATTATTTTTCCTCGTAAGATATGATCCAATGAACGGTCCTTGGAAACATACATCCGGAATGTCTGTGCAACATTAAAGATGTCATTCAGTTGCTCCTTGTTGAACATATCAACTGTCAGGATATGTTTCCCACCCAGGTGGTGTGGGTGCGGATGTGGTGCTGTGGCTGAAGCAATGGATTCGTTGAAACTTTCAGTTCTAGCTCGTCCTGAATATGGTACTGGTAACGGGGACACAGCATTCATCCTTATATCAGAGTAGCCATCATTAGCAAAGTGTACCTTTGGAGTTTCCGCTAGTAATTTGGTAAAGATCTCATTGGTTTGACCATCATTATAAAGATCGTGGTGGATTGTGGGCATAGGAGATGATGTCCTTTCTAAAGCAGACGATGGTCGACTGTGATTATGACCCTCAATCATCATCTTCTTATTGTCCCATTCCCTAACATTCTGACCATAACCAGGTTGGGTAAGGACTTTGCCTTCAACATAAGCTACCTCCCCACGCAGCACTACTCTATGGATAGCACCACGCACCTTTTTACCAGCAAATGGCGTCCATTTTGCTTTACTGTAGGGCATTGCATCGGGTATGACCCATTCCTCATCAAGGTCTACCTCAACATAAGTATTAGGTTGTTCTGGCAGGCTGAAGATCCTTTTTGGGTTCTTGTGGAATTTGTTTATGATGTCCTCAATGGTCATTCTGCCTTCATGGACCGCATTGAGTAATAAGGGTAGGATTGTCTCCAGACCTGGGAACCCAGGTGGTGGTTTCTCTGAATTCTTCTCTTCCACCGTGTGTGGAGCATGGTCAGTTGCAAAACAATCAATTATATGCAAATTATCCCAAAGGGCTTGTTGATCTTCGGGTGAAGTTAGAACCGGACGCACTTCAGATTTACCAAAACCCAATCTCGGGATATCATCAGTAGACATAAATAGATGATGTGGGCACACTTCGCATGTAACCTTGAGACCTTTCTCCTTCGCAGCTTTGATAATCTGTATCTCCGACTTTCTTGCCACGTGGCAAATATGAATCGGACGATTATGGAGGTTCGCCAACAACAAAATGGCGGCGGTTGTTTGACTCTCGGCATGCACGCAAAGCGGCCATTTCTTCGGCCAATTCGCTAAATGTTTCGACCACACAGTTAAATCATTCAATTTGAGCGTTGAGAAGGTTTCATTCAGATACATCTTCAACCCAGCTGATTCCACAGCTAAATCCGGTACAGTTGAGTAATTTTCTTCGGTGGCTCCCAAAAACAGCGCATAATCACACCGGGCCTTTTCTTTCGCCAACTTTTTCACCAACATTAAAGAATCCTCATCGATTATAGAAGGATTCGTATTGGGCATGGCACAAATCATGGTAACACCACCAGCAAGTGCAGCAGCTGTACACGTATCAAAATCTTCCTTGTGAGTTGCGCCTGGTTCACGCACATGAACATGCGTATCAATAAAACCTGGCAGTTTGATGAGACTTCGGGAAGTCATGCAATCACAATGGGTTTTCATTGCGGGTGGGGTCTTTCCAACCCTTCGAATAGCCTCGACCAACAACTTGGTACATTTGACATCTGTCACCAGAGGAATAGAATAGTCTATAGCAAGACGCCTGGTGCGATAACCATGGGTCATAAACGAGGAAACCCTTCTGGCACCTCCATTACGCATGGGTAGATTAATAACCAAATCAAATTGTTTCTTGGAGAGGAATTCCGCTAGAGGTTTAAGTTCCCCTTGAGATGTAATATCATCGATGTTGTCAAAAGTCCATTGCACGGATTCCACCTGAGAAAAACACAATCAACACCAGGTCCTCAAGGATCGCATGTGTAAAAATGCGTAACAACCGCGTGGAATTTGATTCGATAGTATTGATTAGATTAGCCGAGATCCCGCGATAAGCGTGCGAACACCGCCTGCGCGTCAGTTGAGATGCAACCGTCAAGTCCCATGGTGTAGCAGCCGTCGTCATGGGCAGCAGCGGTAGCAAGAAACGCGAGAGCGGGCCCAGCGAGGACCCGGCCCCCGTGGACGACTACTTCATCAGTCTTAATCAAATAGAAAATACGGTCACGCGTAAAGAGATTGAAAAACTGCGTAAAGAGTACCGCACTAAACCCGAGATGTTTCTTTTAAATCAAGTGCTGTTTTCGGTGATGTTTTTTCAAAACTATGACCAGTGAGTAGAGACCCGCTTAACGATTTCTAGGAAACATGACATTCTACATAAATACTCGATTAATCCCGATAAACCACTCAATTGTGATTATCTCGTATTCGTTGCGTTGCAGGGAATTAATCGAGTCCACGCCAAACGAAACCATCAGCGTGAAGGAGTTGAGTCTCACCGAGGACCTCTTTCTCACTTGTCTCAAGCCGGACGACGCGTTGTCATTGGTGAACAAGCACGTGCAGTTCTGTGCAAGTCACGGCGTCAATAAGGGTAAAGTCAGCCCGCTGGTGTCAAATCGCATTTTCGTCATTCACGAAAACATTCAGGTGGTTGCGGACGCCGAAAACCACTATGCAAACATCGATAGACCATCACTAACCGCCCAAGTTGTTGAAAAACACAGACAAGGTAAGGAATTTAGCAATCTTTAAAAACTGTTTAGTTATTTAAATATTTTTAGGTTATGTACGTTTGAAGTATATAGAAGACTTGAAATTCAAAACCTCCATCTCCTCCAACTCCAGTTCGATGACCACCAGCGACGATACCTGCTCACTTGATGACGGAAGTGAAACATACGGCCGGATAACCAAAGCAATGAGAATAAGACCTTTGCCGAAAATGGATCCGAACCGAATAAAAAAGTCCCTGTATCCAATCTGCGAAGTCAAACGTCGTAACTACGACGCACTGGACGATGAGGATCTCTGGATCCACGAGTACTTTGTCAATTCCAAAGCAATGAAAGATCAATTCCACCGCAACTGGCCCAACATTGCCAAACTGTTGGAATTGGACAGTAGTGAAATAGAAACTGGATTCAATTGTGACAGCATCCACTGCCGATCAAAATGTCGTGATATATCATGGGAGATCATCCCAGCTGTGCAACTACCCAAGGGCGCATACGAATACTTCCTCAAAATCAAATCCAACTACATAAAGTCACAAGTGGCGACACACAAAGGACGCGTCTTCCCAAATGAAGAAATGTTGAATGAAATCGTTCACATGGATCGGCTTGCAATCCCGCGAGGATTCATACCCAAATATAAAGGTGAAACAAATCCCAATTGTCATCTGGAGTGGGAACTGGCGCATCCCAAGGTGGAGAAATATCTCCAACAGCAACTCACACACACGCATGTGCGAACGCTGTTGCTAATGCTGGTCATACTCAAAACTTTCGTGGAACCCAAGACAAAACACAATGGCGTCACCATCAGACATCTAGTCATCCACCTTTTCTGGGAGCTACAGAAAGACGTAGTGATTAACGATACGCGAATGGGCGCGCGTTTGGTACAAATGATCAACTCGTTCTGTTCGCGGTTGAGCAAAAGCTCTCTTCCGGATTATTTCGTCCAAGAACGAAATCATTTCGAGAATATTCCCTCGGAACACATTAGAAACGCGTTGGAAATGTTTGCGAGAACAAGGGATAAACCTCTGATACATTTTATGACAGCTATACGCAATTTGCAATATAGAGATGAGACATTTCCGCAGTTAGATGTGAAAAAGTTGCATGAGATCCTTACGAAATCAATGGCGCCCGTCCGGAAGAAACCGATGGAACCGCGGAGAACTAAACTCGACTGGGAGGGTATGATACGCGAGAAAACTAGAAGAGAAACAGTAGTCGTGAAGAATCTCACACCTGAACGAAAAGTTTCAGTTGATTCCATCCTAGAGTCCAATATCATAGGAATTTCCCTAGTAAGTATAATTTTAAAAGAATAATCTAACTCTTTAACTTTACTTACACATTCCTATTTTATTATAATTCAGGAACCCTCGGAAGAATCACCACATTATTCTCTCAAGCGAAGTAGAGAGGTTATTGTCTTCTTTCTGGACCATTACATCAAAATGGCCGCCAGTCTGTACAATCTAGGCAACCTCAAACAGGCGTTGAGTTATCTGCGTCAAGCAGAACTCTTAACCTATTTATTTCACCTCAGTTGCGGCGATGATGCGAGCAAATACCAGAAAACTATAAAAGCGCTTCGGAGTTCATTTGAGGAAGGTCCCGAAAAGCGGTCGCTGATGGATGTTGAACATCGTAGAAAATCACTACCTCCATCTACACTACCAGACCTCCCTCAACGATCGCCATCTGTACACATTCCACCAATTCGGGTTGTCAACCAGAATTCGGTAGATATCAGCAAGGTACTCCACCAGCATCAAAATGGTGACGTGCGTGGTAAAATCTTCCGCAAACGTAAAGAAAGCGAATCAACCCTGAAAAGCGCTTCCAGTGATGATTCTGATATCGACGAGGTGATTCTGCGACACCCACCAGAGGAGAAACAACGAGTGTTAAGAAGACGTAATGAAAGTGACCCTAGTGAGAAAGAAAACCAAAAGAAGATTGAGATGCTGCCGAGGAAGACGAAAAGTGTTAATTTCAACACGGAGGTTGTAATTGGCAAGGACACTAATATTCCAAAAGTGAACGATAAATTAGATCATGTGAATCCAATAGTGACAGTAATCAATAGTTCGGCCAATGAAACAAGTGATAATAGTGACACGTCAACCATTGTTACCGAAAGCGAAGAAGAAGAAGAAGATTTAGATGGATTGGATGAGCTCATCGACGACGAAATTGACTCACGTGATACAATTGTTCAGGTCACGAATCCCTTCGGCTACCACGCCAACAGGATCAGCTTAGGTTATGAACCCGAGGATACGTTTACGTAATTTTAAGAGGTTATAGAAAAAAGTGACTTACATCGACGCCATGTTCGGTATAGAAGTCCGCGGTGCCCAGGCTGGCGTACAGCTTGTAGCCCATCTTGTACAAAGTTCTCATGCTCGGCAGCAACTCCATTTTGTGCTGAAAATTGTAAATATTGTTTAATTTATTAATGTTTAATAAACACGAGAAACAATTTGTTTAATTTACCTTGAAACTTCCGATGGATAACAAAATGGATTTCTGCGGGATGGAGAATCCAGTGCTCATCATTGCCTTGATGTACGCTTCGTAGCGATTATCCCCGAAACAAGCCACCTCCCCGGTTGATGCCATCTCCACCCCGAGCATAAAATCAGCTCCGGCTAATCGCGAAAACGAAAACTGCGGCACTTTTACCCCCACTTTACCACATCCATGAAGCACATCAACCGGTTCCACTTTCTCCCCAATGATAACACGCGTGGCCATTGCTACGAAATCATGATCCAGTGTTTTGGATACAAACGGGAATGACCGGGACACGCGTACATTACACTCGATAACTTTTAAATCGTTGTCTTTCGCGATCAGTTGCATATTAAACGGGCCAGTTACTTCTAGACTTGCTGCAATAGCACGACAGATTTGTCTGATCTTGATCAGGGTTTCTCTATTAATATCTTGCGGTGGTGTGACAAGTGTAGCATCACCAGAGTGTACCCCAGCGTTTTCTACGTGTTCAGACACGGCCATGCAGAGGATAACACCGTCACAAGCCACGGCATCAACGTCAATTTCTTTGCTTTCTAAGATAAACTTTGAAATTACCACCGGATGTTCTTTACTGACATCACTTGCTGCATTGAGGTAAGTTTCAAGGTCTTGATTGGAGTGCGCCACATTCATGGCAGCTCCACTCAGGACATATGAAGGTCTCACCAAGCATGGATAACCAACTTGTTCACAGAATTCAATGGCGGCGTTCAAATTGGTTAATTCCTTCCACCTCGGTTGCAGAATACCGATCCTATCCAACATCCTCGAAAATTTGAAACGATTCTCAGCACCATCAATGGAATCTGGTGAAGTACCAAGAATTCTAGCACCGCGTCTATGAAGATCCATCGCGATGTTATTGGGAAGTTGACCGCCCATACACAGAATGATTCCAGTAGGATTCTCCATGATGTAGATATCCATAACAACCTCAAAGGAGATTTCTTCAAAGTATAATCTATCCGACATGTCATAATCAGTGGAGACCGTTTCGGGGTTGTAGTTAACCATGATTGTCTTCTTCCCAAGTTTGCGTAGCTCGCGCAAGCAACCAACTGCGCACCAATCAAACTCGACAGAACTACCAATTCGATACACCCCGGAACCAATCACCATAGTATGCTCTTCTTTGAACTCTAAATCATGTGCAGTTGCATTGTAAGTCAGGTACAAGTAATTAGTAGTTGCTGGCCATTCAGCTGCGACTGTATCAATCTGTTTGACAAACGGCATCAGTCCAAGATCCTGACGTTGTTTCCTGATTGCTAACTCAGTGCTTTTTACCGCTACAGCAATTTGTTTATCGCTAAAACCCAGTTGTTTAGCTTTAAGTAATGTATTCCTTGATAATGTGCTCTGGTCTAAAGACTCCATCAGTGTAATATAGTCGATTACATGTTTCATTTTCTGTAAGAACCATCTGTCGATTTTGGTAAGGTCATAGAGCTTATCAACAGAGTATCCGCTTTTTAGTGCAGCTGCCAAAACAAACATTCGTTTATCAGTTGGTTCTTTAAGTTCTTCATCGTCAACTTGTTTGAGATAAGGATCAAATCCATTTACAGATTCGTCCACCATTCTGAGTGCTTTCTGGAAGGCTTCCTCAAACTTCCTTCCGATTGCCATGACTTCTCCAACACTCTTCATGGATGAACCGATTTTAGTAGAAACCCTTGAAAACTTGCTGAGATCCCATCTAGGAATCTTTACCACGCAGTAATCCAGACTTGGTTCAAAACATGCTGTAGTCACACCAGTTACAGAATTCTTAATATCAGGTAGAGCTATACCCAAAGACAACTTAGCTGCGACATAAGCAAGTGGATAACCAGTTGCTTTACTTGCAAGCGCGGAACTTCTTGATAATCTGGCATTTACTTCAATGATGTAGTATTCTTCCGCATAGGGATTCAGAGCGTATTGAATATTACACTCACCAACAACACCAAAGTGTCGAATAACATTGATAGCTGTGGTTCTTAGTAAGTTATATTCCCGGTTCGATAGAGTTTGACTTGGTGCGACTACAATCGATTCCCCTGTATGAATACCCAAAGGATCCACATTCTCCATGTTGCATACTGTTATACAATTGTCGTAAGCATCCCTAACAACTTCATACTCAACTTCTTTCCAACCTCTTAGAGATTTATCAATTATAAGTTGAGTAGAATGTGCAAGTGCTTGTTGTGCGAGTGATTTCAATTCGTCCTTATTATTGGCAAATCCTGATCCTAAACCACCCAAAGAAAACGCTGCCCTTGCCATTACAGGATATCCCAACTGTTCTGCAGCTTCTAAAGCTTCCTGGACCGAATAAGCCGCCATGCTGGGAGCTACTTTCTCGCCGATGCAAGCGATACGTTCACTGAAGATTTTTCGATCTTCTGTATCAATGATGGCTTCAATTGGTGTTCCCAAGACCTTTACTCCGTATTTATCGAACACTTTTGCTTTTTGTAATTGTACACCGCAGTTTAGACCAGTTTGGCCTCCAAAAGTTAACAGAACACCCCCAGGGCGTTCTGCTCGAATCACCTGCTCAACATACTCGGGTACCAACGGAAGAAAATATACTTTATCTGCAAGACCTTTTGATGTTTGAACTGTAGCTATGTTTGGGTTGATCAGGACAGTTTGTATTCCTTCCTCATGAAGTGCTTTGATTGCTTGTGAGCCAGAGTAGTCAAACTCCCCAGCTTGACCAATACTCAAACCACCCGAACCGATAATAAGAACCTTTTTGGGAACCTCCGAAAGTAGTTTCAAACCGTCAAATTGTAAACTTTCATGAATGCGTTGTTTAACAGACCTTTGTGTTGGGTCTTTGATAACTTCTAGAAAAACATCAAACAAACATTCGAGGTCCTCAGGTCCTGCAACGTGCTCAGGATGGAATTGAACGCTAAAGTATGGTAGTGTTTTGTGAATAATGCCTTCGTTGGTTTGGTCGTTGGCGTTTGAGAAAAGTTCCTCCCAATTTTCTGGCAGAGATTCGGGATTGATGACGAAACCATGGTTCTGGGAGGTCATGTAACAGCGGTTGGTACCACGGTGAAGACATGGTTGGTTATGTCCTCGATTGCCATACCTAAACCATGATTAACAATAAAATATATGGTCTAAAAGTTGGTTTGAATTAAAACTTACTTCATTTTGGAACTGGTGCATCCAATAGCCAATGATAACAGTTGGTGACCCAAACAAATGCCCAAAACAGGTGTGTTCTTTTTCGCAATCACCGCTTTGATTGTTTCAATTGTTTTTTGACACATTTCTGGATTACCTGGACCGTTACTCAGGAAAACACCATCGTAATCTTCTGTTATCTTGTGATCCCACGGAACGACGTCAACTCTTGCTCCACGTTGCAGGAAACATCTGATTTGATTGTTTTTTAGGCCACAATCGATTGCACATATTTTTGGACTTCCATTTGGATTAAATACTTTAACTTCCTATTTAAAAAACAGCAAATAATTACAATTAAAATGAGAATTGTTTATGCAAATTGAAACAAACCTTTGTGGAAACCTCTGCGACCAAATTCCTCAAGTTGGGATCCGCAATCTTAACATTCTCAGTGTTTATAGGAAGTTCAAAAACTATTTTACCGAGAATAGATCCTTTTTCGCGTATCTTTTTCGTGAGAGCGCGCGTGTCGACACCTTGAATTCCGGGACATTTTCTTTACGCATCCATTCGGAGAGTGTCTGGTGGTGACGCCAATGACTGGGTTCATCACAGTGTTCACCCACGACCAAACCAGCGGCCCAAATTTTGTTAGATTCAAAAAAACTGCGAAAAGAAAAAAAAATTCATACAATTTGCTGTTTTATTACAGTTTTGCCGATAACTCTTTGTCGGGAGAATTTAAAATGTGTGGAAAATAAATGAATACTTACTAAGGTAGACCATGTTCATCATGTTTGCCTTCTGGGATGCCGTAATTTCCGATTAGCGGGTAAGTTAGGACCAAAATTTGGGCGTGATAACTCGGATCGGTTAAAGATTCAGGATATCCAACCATACCAGTTTGGAAAACTGCAAAGAGACATTATATATTACATTGTAAGTTGAGTTATTCATGTAAAAAATAATTTTTGCGGATTTTATGAGAATAAACATTTAAATAAAACTTAAATTAAGCATGTGTAGCCTCATAGACCATTAGAAAACAATAAAAATGCATAAACAACAACATAAATGTTATATCAATAATTTTACTACTTGTTAAACTATAAACATTTAATTATAAGCAATTATTTCATAAATTAAATGTTTATTTTCTTAATTTAAGTAAATTAAATTAATTTAAATATTGCTTTATAGGTGACGCTGCAAGCAGGCAAAGCAGCGCGCTTTCCAATGCAACAAAATAAAACTTTCGCGATTCCTCAAGCCGCGCAAACGCAAATCGTTCGCGAAAATCAATACCACGCCGCCAAAACGAACAACAAACGCAACGCTCGGCGCAAGGCCACTCCGCGGCCATCCACGTGCTCGCGAATCTAACCTAAACCAACGGTTTTAACATGATACTAACGCAAACGCCGCTGATATAGATTTGAAAAAGTTTGAAAAATAAATAGATGACATACCGACTTCACCGTCTCTTGCATTGCGTGCCCCAAACGCCTCTCCCGGAAACACCGTACCATCCTCCAGCAACAGATAACAAACTTCCTTCTCCATAATCACACGTTGGTTACTTCCAGCGTTGTCGATGTATAAACAAAAATAAACCAGAAGCGCAAATTGTTGGAAGACCGCACAGCGCTGGCTGCACCACGCGAATATCGATCGCGCACTGGTGGGTTTCAGCGCCGCGCTCGCAAGTGCCTCGCAGTACTTGTAATTGCGATGCGACTGCAGTCGGCCGGTTAGGTGCGATAAGAAAGGCCGTTATCGCGATAGGAAGAAATATCGCGCGCGTTATACTCAAAGCAATGCTTTCAACTGTCGGCGTTGATGATGACTGTGACGAAAAGAGATGATCAACTCAGGCCATGAACCGTCCCTAGCGTCCACCAGAGAAACCGGTTGTCACTTTGGTAGATTAACTACTTATTTGAATTTAAACGGCAGAAATCGGTCAGAAATCTATTACAGGTAGCGCAATAAAATCTACCTGTTAGTAAAATGTCCCTTTAAACTTGATTTTGGAAATATTTTAACGTTTATTTCGTACCTGTTGCAATATTTAACTCAAAACTTTCTTGAAAACTCACAAGTACAAATGTTTTACTTGTAGAATTTATATTTAACACTCAGCATGATGTTTTTTAATTTGTTTGTTAATATTACGCCTCGATATGAACGAAATTCCAAACGTTATCGCTGAGTCTAAATAAAACACGATCGCCGATTGTTATGGGATCCATTTTACTGCCGTAATATTCCACGCGATGAGGAATAACAGTGTAATAAACTCTGCAATCATAAAAATTCATTCAAGTGAGGTTATGTTAAGTAAATGTTTAATTAGATTAACTTACACTTCAGCTGGCATATCAATAGAGTCTTCTTTAGCATCACTGAGGTGTTTAACGTATTCGTCATGTCGTTTCTTTAATTCATCCCAATCAATTTCATTTCCTTGTTTGCTGAAACCGTAACGAACTTTTGTACGCATGGACCAAGTGCGAAAACTTGCACGGGTAAACTCCATTGGCATTTCTTTAGCCACACCTTCAATTCTAACCTACACGTAATTTATTTTTAAATTTCTCATCTATTTCTTTAGTTTTTAATTAATATTTACTTGTTTGGTATGTTTTTGTCCATTTATAGTTGTAACCCAAAAGAAACACAAAGATACCTGTGGATGTGTTTGCTATAACAGAAATAAATTAGGTGAAATTATGATATTTATAGGTTATATATGTTATTGTATTCAATAAACATACAATATCCTCATGTTTGCGGCTATTTCGGGTTGTATTAAACATAAAACCATCATCAGTGAGTTTTTTCATCACTACCGACCTATTACTCACGGTCCCATCCCTTAAACAATCATTAAAATTATATATAATAGAAATATGAATCGAAAATTTGTTGGTAAGCGCATAACTCAACAACGCTTTCACCAATTTGGCCAATTCTTCTTTTTAAATGTTTGTTAAACCCCAAGGATGGTTTTTAGAGCGAGAAAAATTCGAATAATTGCCGGGAAAACCCTAAAGAAAGCCCTTTTCTGTAGGATAAAAGTTGGCATTGAGATTCAGTCATAGTTATAGTTAAATAGTTGAATCCGAGATGGCGCGCTGAAGTGCATTATTAGCAATTCTTAATATAATTAATTTTTTAAAATAAAATCGCGAATCTTATTGATAGAATTGACACATACTATGTCTAGAACAAGGGAGTAAAACGAATTACATTGTTATTAAACACTACCGGGACGAAGTCGCGGGCAAAAGCTGGCATTTAATATTTTGAGGTTAAACATTTAACTTACTTAGACACTGTTGCTATATTCATGACACTCGCATGGAATTCTCCAAATTCTTCTTTGGCATCATTAAACCATTCCCGAAACAAATCCAAAGGTCTAGCGCCATCTTGCACTTCAATTTTGTACAAAGTTGAAACAGCAGCAGCCATTTTACCTTCCTACACTTTTTACAAGTCAATACACAATGATTAAACTAATTATGTTATAATAATGCATAAAAATGTAACAATTTAGTTGTTTAACTTTCTAAATGAACGCAGTTCCACTTATCCGTATCTATTCTGGTGAACAACACTCGATCTGGAATGGTAGCTGATGATATCGTAGCGTCGTTGAGGTTATGATAGAATTCGATACTTTCCGGGATTACTTGAAATGCCTCACTAGTAGGTAGTAAATCATAATGACAATAAAAATCGAAGTAAACTTAGATTTTATGACTTACACATGAGTTGGCATTTGCAACTGAACTCGATTTTCTTGTACGCTTTGGAGGAAGTTATCGTGTCGCTTCTTGAGGACGTGCCAGTCTACTTTACAGCTTTGACGACAGAGGCAACTTCGAAATCTATTCTCGATGCTCGCGTTGGCGAATGCTTCGCGAGCGTAATTGGTATCTTTTTTGATCGCACAGCCTTCAACACGTACCTGAAATTTGTTTTCATTAAAATTATATAATAATATAGATAATAATTTAAACGGAAAATTTTAGATGTAAATATGCAGAGTGAGATAACTTTATTTTATTAATACGTACTTGTCTTGATATGCGTAGATTGTCGACTGTGTAGAACCATATGAATGTCAGGGCTACTTGTGGATGTGTCAGCTGGTAAATTTATTTTGATATATTTAAATTTATGTTAAACAAACTTAATAGCTACAGAAGCAACTGCTGATAACGAGGTTTGGTGTGTTGGCATTCTTATAATGGTAGCTAACTGGTTACCAACGCCATCTATAGGTTAATAACTAAAATTTAAATAATTTTGCATTGGCCTTGACAATGACATTGATTAATCACTTATGAATAAATTCATAACATTTAAATTAGTCTTAAACAATTCCGAAACTTAATTAAATAATTCTTACAATATCTTTGCTTTTTCTTGAAAACTTCGATGAAGAGAAATGAAATCCGCCATCGCATAGATCTGTCAAAACCACATTACGGCTACTAATTCGTCCACTTCTATTAAAATTAATTTACAAAACTAATTTTTATAAAAATAAATAAATTTTGATTGTTTAATTATTTACTCTGAGATTGTAGCCAAGTTCATCGTATGTGCATGTAAAAATGAAGTCCGGTCCTGTGCTTCTTTCAACCAGCTAGCAAACAAATCAATCGGATCATTATTTTCTTCAGGGATGTCGATTTTACATAACCGCGATGTGAAATGTGTAATTTCATCCTTACACTCTTCAGTTTTTGAATTATAGCAGTCATTATTATTAAATTTCGTATAAGAATAGAAGTAATATTCGCTGGATTCCTTCGATGAAATGTCGTCCATTGCGTGTGAAACTGCTGATGTGAAATCCCGCAGAGATTTTCGAAAATGTTTAATGAAAGGTACGATGTTTAATTTTGACATATTCGATATTTCGTTTGATTAGGATGAGAACCGTATTAAAAAATAAAATTTTAAATTTATTTTACAATAAGTACCTACATGTCAACGTCAATAATATAATTCGATACAAATATAATAATTAGGAGAAATGTACATATACAACTATGCAACAATTAATTTAGAACGTGCTTATAATTTAAATGGTGTCGGCTTTGATGGTTTCCTGTATCCAATCGATGTTCGGAACGATTTTGTCGTAGAGCCGTGGTCGTTCCATGCCGTTTTTCGCACATGCAATGCGCCAATTCGTCACACCAATCAGTGACCATCTTGTGCCATCGTTCACCTGGCAATGCATCGGCGAACCGGCAAATTCTTCTTCCTACACACACAAAATGTCACATCTATAATATAAACATGAATGGCAAAATGTGTTGGTAAGCGCATAACTCAACAACGTCTAGACCAATTTGACCAATTCTTTTTTTTTTTTAATGTTTGTTAAAGTCCAAGGATAGTTTTTACGGCGAGAAAAATTTGAATAATTGCCGGGAAAACCCTAAAAACAGCCATTTTCTATAGGATAAAAGTTGGCATTGAGATTCAATCAGAGTTATAGTTAAATAGTTGAATCCGAGATGGCGCGCGGAAGTGCATTATTAGAAATTCTTTATATAATTAATTTCTTTAAAATAAAATTGCGAATCTAATTGATAAAATTGACACATACTATGTCTAGAACAAGAGAGTAAAAAACAAATTACATTTTTAATAAATACTACCGGGACGAATTCGCGGGCAAAACTAGTTAATGAATAATAATGTGTTTATTGGTTTATAGATGGCGTTTACTTACACTGCAATCTTCTTGTCCGTACGCAGTTTCAGTGCAGAGACTATTCACGCTGGATATGCTAATATTTTCGCACTTCTCCATCACTGTGACCTTAATCTCGACACGTTGCAACTGATCACGATTGCGTGCCCAACCCAGTGTGTTGCAGTGCAACGCATCACTGGCTTGCAACTGCTGTGGCAAACACACAGGACGAACAAAGTCGGTCATCATGAGAGGTTCTTCTAACTTAACCATTGCTATAGTTGATCCTTCAACTGGAGATTTGACCATTCCTACAATACGGCGTTCTTGTTGCCATGGAGATGAAGACGATAACCTAACACTTCCAGCCCTCACTAACCATTCTGCTTTCGGTTGTCCTTGGAAACAAGATGTCGTGGTGACTACCCAATTAGGTGATACCAAAGTCCCGTCACAGATGTGTACATCATCTTTGAAGAGGGCCATGTGCCAGGGCCAATCACCATGGGCGGACATCTTGGCCAACACTGGATTGGCACCTGCTTCGTGGGTTACCTGCACACCACATTCCAAATTCGCGCAGGAGACTTTCAGTACTTGTTTTGTGGGGCATTCAGAACGAACAAAACTGATCTCTGATGCTGTAGGATCATCCATTGAAACGTATGCAACATCATCTTCTGCGTCTTTTTCTACTTGTACTGATGTTACACTCCTGATATAGGCAACCAAATATACATTAATTAATATTATGCATATGGAAATGATCAACTTACTCGTATGATAATGTTTTGCACAAAGATGATGCGACCATATGCAATATTTCCGCTGTTTTATTCGCTGGTATGGAACTGTTGAGGTTCTCCGTGCATAGTTTACCCATTTCGCCTTTCTCGTTGAATACAACATAGCCCTCGGGATGGTAACGCGGGAGGTGCGGTGTCACGACTTTGACTTTCGTCATTTGTTGAATGCTAGGCGCTAGAGTTACTACAAAACAAACAAAGAACCAAACCCAAAATGTAAATTAATTAAACTGCAGAAAATACTTTGTTAAAACTTACAACATGCCCTTTCATCACTCCCATCCGGACAATCTCGTTTACCATCACAACGCTTCGATGATTTTATACAAGCCCTACCAATTCCACAGTGGATATAATTCGATGGACAATACGCACAGGATTTCTCATCGGAAAGATCTTGACAGTCAACTACCCCATCACAAATTCGTGGGGACAACGCCCTTGTTTGCATTTCTTGCACACATCCTGGTTTTGGAATACATGAACCATCCCCGTGAAACTCTGGGAACTTATTACAATCCAATGCTTCTTTAATTTTACTTGTTAAACGTCCCCCACATCCTGTCATGAAATCTCTACAGTAACTTCTACATGGCAGCAACATCTCATCCGATTCCGGACCACGTGCACAACGTGGTTGTAACACATTACAAATAAAATCATAAGCTAATCTATAACATTCTCCATCAACTAGTTCCCGAAAACTGATGACATCTTTTTTCAGGTCTTTAAGATCATTGTGGCCCATTATGTTTGGATATGTGGTGAGGTTATAATTCATCTTTTTACAGTAGTCCAATTGCAGTGGTGAGCATTTTCTACGAATTGGAGTTTGAGTGACTGCTTCAGAGACAATCTGATATGTTGAGGGACGTGCGGTTGTTGTTTTGATCACATGATTCTCGATTACTTCAACACTATGCGGATCAATGGTCAGATTACGGAAATACAAAGATTCTTGTTCCAAGGCCACCTCGTTAGAGATTAGAGTTTGGAGATCTTTGGCGGAGGCTGTCGTATAAGTCGGATCGATGTGAATGTCAAAATGGACAACTAAGTCTTTACCTTCAGTTCTATTGATGGATAGAGACAAAATTAGGTTATGTTATATTGGGTTATTTTAGGTTATGTGTATTACCCATCGAGTGCTAAAATATCAGTCCCTGCAAATCCAAGCCGATAATTACTCCTCCTAAAGAGAAGATTCAGTCTTTCTTTGTAATCCCTTGCTTTAACCCGGAATTCTTCAGTTTGGAGATCCGCCATTGGTGTTTGAAAGACATCGCCTTCCATTACATTAAAACTAGCTCGGAATACTTGCTCCTCGGCTGGTTGCGTAAAATAAAACGTGTCTGACAAACAAAACAAACAAATTGCAACAATTTATTTTATATTAGTGTAAAATGTATTCAAGGCTATTCAACCTTCTTTACACCTTCTTATGTTATAGTGCACCTTGCGCACACGTTGCGAAATCATTGCAGATCGCAGATGGTGTTTCACAATTTTAATGCAATAGTTTCAAAGATCAAAATTAACATTGCGTGGTATTTAGCACATGCATTAAATTAATGAATGCTTCATTTACTTACATCCGACATAGATGGCGGCAGCACCGGCTAAGAGCAGCATCAGGAAACTTGCTAGAATACAACAGCCACATTTGTACTGTCTGCTCAATTTCCTGCGAGTGAAACGGATGTCCGAATCTGAGGATAGAATTGAACTCGCCGAACGGCGATATTGTCTTGTTCCGTTTGTGCTCATCGTGCTTACAGACATCTGCAAACAAAATGCCGTCTCAAAACTCATAAAAGTATATCTTAATAAAAATAAATCGCAAAATCTGTTGGTAAGCGCATAACTCAACAACGCCTACACCAATTTGGTCAATTCTTTTTTTAAATGTTTGTTAAAGTCCAAGGATGGTTTTTACGGCTAGAAAAATTTGAATAATTGCCGGGAAAACCCTAAAGACGGCCTTTTTCTATAGGAAAAAAGTTGGCATTGAGATTCAATCATAGTTATAGTTAAATAGTTGAATCCGAGATGGCGCGCTGAAGTGCATTATTAGCAATTCTTTATATAATTAAAATCTTTAAAATAAAATTGCGAATCTTTTTGATAGAATTGACACATACTATGTCTAGAACAAAAGAGTAAAACGAATTACATTTTTATTAAATACTACCGCTGTTGCCATCAGCGTTCATGTAAGTAAACAAATTCTCAATAAAAACAACACAATTCACAAACATAACCAGAAAATACCTGTAACTAGTTTGGTGTATGTTTGGTTGCCTATATTAAATACATTTTTAACATATTCACAAACAAAAACATCAGTTTTGCCAACATAACTCGTTAATATAGTTAGTTTTAATGTATATTTGGTTGCCTATAGTAATAATATATCTAAATACACTTTTAACGTTGAATAAATCATTTCTAGGCCTTGACCGATGAAGAGAAGGCAAAAGTAAGAGAATTGGCAACTGGATGCTTGGACAAAACCTCCGTCGACAAGGACCTGATCGGCAAAGCGCGCAAACAGGAGTACACCGAACGTAACCCCCAATTGGCCGCTTACTACACCTGCATGATGACCGGAATGGCCTTCCAGAAAGCCGACGGCACCTTCGACACCGACCGCATGGCCGAGAAGCTCCCCGGCAGCGGTGACCGCGACAGCGCCGTCAAGGCTATCAAGAAGTGCTCCGCCCACGACGC